TGTTAGTTTGTACGGTTTCAAATGCAAACGTGTTGCCAAATAGTCATCTGTCGGACGTGCAACTCCAGAGAAGCACGTCAGGTCAATTTAGCAGGACTGTTAACAAAAGTTTGTTTTAGTTGCTCAACGACTTCGTTAGATGTGCTTGGACGACCTCGTGATTTCTTATGTCTTACAAAGTTTCTATAAAACATTTATGCCACTCATGAATTCAAGCCCTACTAGGAGGATCTTTAGTGTATTTGATACGAAAAATTGTTGTTGCCGCCTTTGATTCTTCACACCAAAACACACAGCTAGTATGCTCTGGTCTAGTGAAAGCAGCCATCTTTAACGCAACTACCGCTACGGTACGTTATGGTACGATTAGGTACTAACGAACCACGTGCGTCAAAAGTTTACGTGTTTCCTTACAAATTGCAACTTCTGTCAGCTTTGTAGGTTCTCTGAATAAGTTTATATGACTTTTCAAGATTGTAAAGTCCTTTTTGGATCATTCTGTATAATTTAATCTTTTTATCAAATAAATTCCTATTGTTTAAAGGTAACTTGTACTTTGAAAATTTCTTTAAATATTTGTGAATAACTAAGGAAAAAAAGGTCTGGAGTTTTGGGCTAAATGACTTTTGTTTTATTTAAACATTCTTTTCTGTAGGGAAATTTCGGTAAAAAACTGGGGATTAAAAAAAACCATCTGACAACATTGACTTTTACTGACTTTTGTTTTCTGCTAAATTTAAAAATACGATCACCATAATTTGCATTCCAATTTTTACTTGATAATTTACTAACTTTTGTCTGCCCCAAGTATCGCTTGTTTTTTTATTTGTAGTTGTATAAAGAATTTGTCTTAATTTGACAAAATTAGGGAGGAAGTGGTTGTGTCACCATTACACCCTTATCTCTATAATAACGAGCCGCTGCTGAGACTAATTTTGTTTATCGAACCGACATAACGATTTCTGTATGCATAAAATGCATATGCAAAGGAGTCATTGCAATTTCTCTTATTATCCTTGATCTACAAACGACTTGTATGCATCGAAAGTATGATGCATCTTACAATACCTAAGTAAGTAAATAAAATAGTAATAGTGCTCCTTGTTTCAAATAAATGTCAAGGCAGTTAATGTGTATAAATTTACAAAGTTCTTGAAATTTTCTTTCCTTAGCCTCCTTATTTACGAAATAACAAATTTTTCAATGAAAATGAGTTTCCTTGGACAACAGCTTTACAATACGATAACAATCTGTTTAATATTACTTGACCATTATCAATAATAGCTTGAGCATACATTGACTGTCAGTTTTTAAAGGAATAATTTAATTCTCTTTACAAATTATTTCTATATTACGAGATGTGCTTATTAGTTTTGAAAATTTGTCAATAAAAACCAAACAAATCAAGTTTTGTACTAAATATTATCGATCCTCACAATAGTCTCCGCTTAACCTACACAACGATTCCAACGTTGCTGCCACGATTCAAATCACTCTTGGTAATCCTTTAAATTTAACCCGTCCAGCACTACGGTTATAGCTTTTTTGAGCTCCTCTATACAACATCATGAGCTCCTTTTTTTTTGCAACTCTTACCGCGTAAAATTCGGAAAAGATTGTTATAGATGTATGTCTAGGGAGTGTAAAACATGGACGGCAAAAAAGAAAAGGGCGCGGAGGAAAAGAAAGTGTTCGAAATGTGGTGTTACCGGCGAATGTTGAGGATACTGTGGACAGAGAAGGTTAGATATGAGGAGATACTAGAAAAAATTGGAGGACAGAGGTGGCGTGTTAGGTAGGATACCTTCTCAGGCATGAGGGGCAAGTTAGAGACAATATTAGAAGTAGAAACCGGAGTTGATGAGTAGAGATAGATCTAGATTAGTTAAGGATGTAGGGAAATGCGAAGATTAGCTCAGGACTGACGACCTTATGATGATGATGATCTCGAGATGATTTCAATTCGCTCTATTTTCGAAAACAATTGCCTACATTTTGGATTACGCTATAAAAAACGATTTTTCATCATATCCCTACAAAAAGTGTGTAATTTTTCCCTGATTTCGGTGACGCAAACGCAACATTCCCTTTCATGTTAGAAAACGCATTTACTTCTTTTTAGGAAAGGATTTTACCATCAACTGCGTAGGTTTCACCTTAACTTACGGCTGGGATGGCAATTCACACCCAGGAGGGAATGCCATCCTTTTTCCCTTGATGCGTACAATACTATTGCAGATATTGACCCCTAAAAATATTACCAAAATGGAGAAAATAAATCCGCTCAGTTAATATCCAAGATAATGACCTCAAATTAGCCGAGCGTCCTAAAAATAGTAAGCATTCATCCCGGAAATGATTCAGCTGCTAAAATATGTAAAGCTGCTAACGAGTATAGACCGGCTAGTTTCAGAAAAGTTCTGACCTTCATCTAAAATCTACGCTGAAATTAAGAGAGACTGATATGGATATTCGCACTTAATTTAAGCCCTACGTCAGGTAAGCCCTTCTGCCATACATTTGGCATGGTAACAATACCTTTGACAATGATTTACGTAACGTGAGACCTTCATTATGTATCTCCACCCATGGGCCTTCTAAGGAGGAATCAGTTATGTTAATGGGCCCTGTCTCAAACGAGTAAAGTCCTTATTATTTTTGAGTTTATTATTAATGTCTAGGAATTAATACCAAGAATAAAAATGAGTGAGAGACATTTCTATCTATCTTAAGAAACCACAAATTGCAATCCCTTTATTGTTAGTAACACCTCTCCCTTTTGCCTTTTTGAACCATAATAATTTTAATAATCCATTAAACGTGTTTAGAAATAGGTTCCGTATAAACAAATAGATCAAGACTCACCTGTTCACTGTAAAAATCACTCCTATTCCTACCGGCGTAGTCGAATTCCCTACTACCCTGCCTACCCCTGTCTTTAAAGCCGGTCCCATCTTTGTCCGGCCCCTTCACTTGAATCACGATTCGATGTTCACTTTCACTGTTACCCCCACTGTTGGTGCGATGCCTGCTATGACGAGGTTCCGACACAAGTAGCGTACTATCACTGTCACTATGATCACTGATCTCCATAACACAGTCGCGGATACCTATGCTGGTATCGTCGTGGTAGTCGGGACTGGAGATGTTCGAAATGGCTTCGGAGATGCTGAAATCTCCATTAGTCCTTTGATATTGTCCGGTACCACTGTCAGGATGGGGACCGTTGGTCAAAGTGTAAGGCAGACGACAGGAACCGGATCTACTCGACATTACAGACGAGGAAACGGAAGTAGGAGAAGGAGGTGAGCCAGAACGAAGAGGACTTGGCGAAGAAGGCGAGGAAATACTGTGTGAGGAATTGCTACCATTCGATAACGTGTGACAGCACGTTTTGTGGTAGTGATGGTCCATGGAAGTGGCTGTAACTGGCGCGTTGTATGTCCAAACGATTCGATCCGTTTTCGTTGAAGAACACACATTATTGGAAGAGTTACTGTTCGAACTGGCTTCGGATCTGGTGTCCAGGAGCGTGTTGAGGGAACTGGTCACGTCATCTTCGAAGTCTATGTCGACAGCGTTCACGTTCGAGTCTTTTTGCACTTGCAACTGATCTTCTGATCGGCTGGTGCGTACGAACGTGTTCGAATTGAAACCTAACATGTTGGAGGTCTTTGCCGTGGGATCGCCGTCCGCCGAAGAGTTCGAATCACGTTTGTTGGCACTGACGGGGGAGGTGTTGGCGGAATTTGAAGTTGAATTGCAATGATGCGACCTGTGACCCAGGTCCGATTCATTGGGACTGTTTGGTACCGAGTTGTGCTGCTGTTGCGGCTGCTGCTGGTGGCGTATATGATGACCGTGGGAATTACGATACCTGGAATTATTAAAAAAATCGTCAGATTCTGAGGAAAAAAAAAGGGAAGAAAATGGAAACAAAATCGTTCGAACTGTCGACGGTACTAACACAATGGTGTCTTTGGGTCGACAGGTACAAATGCCAAATGCCATGAAAGTTCTTACAACTGTAAACCCTATGAGGGGGAGGGGGGAATTAAATTTTATAAGGTATTCGTGAATTGTGGAGATTTCAAATAACATTAACACCTATTAGAAGTACCATTATCCCAGAAGATCGAAACTCTGAGAAGAAAAGTGAGAAAGAATCCTAAAACAGTAGGTCACAATGCAACGACAGAAAAAAGGGTAGTGTTGTAATTTCTCCTATTATAGCCTTTATCTAAGGATCTCTTTTCTGTTTTCCGTTATTTTGACATGCTGGATCTACAATTCCATTGGAAGTCCAAATTACAAGAAGGTATCCTAAATATTTCTGCCATCAAATGTGACCAAAAATAGAACCAATCAGTTATAAAATAGTGAAGACATAAAAAATGTGATATTTTAATAATATTTCAACCTTCTTTCCTAAATGTGTAGATAAATACCTGAATCTCAAGATGTACATTTCAAAATCACCTTAATTCCAGTATGACTTACTATGAAATATAAAATTACGAATAAGATTATTTATAAAATTATTAAGGCAGAGTTGTTTTTGTACTAATGTCATTTTCACTTTTTAAATTTTTGAGTTTTCATTTTGACATTGAAGTTTAATAGAAGCACGTGCGCTTAAGAAGTTTCTACGTAGTTTAATGTTGCAATGTTTAACGTTTTATGCCAAAATAAATTAATTAATGGAGAATATTATCTTTTCGCAATAAAATGGTTCTGCGTTAGCCAAGAGCGAAAATTTGAGGCAACTTTGACCTTTCAAATGTCACGCGCAACATTAGGCTTTACTTCTTTTGGGTCAGATACACTCAAACTATTAACGGAAACGTTACTTAGGAACTGACGTTGATTTTGGGCAATTTTTATGAACCAAAATTGTCCAAATTGAAGAGACAATTGGGCATAAGCAAGTTGGAAGTATTTGTTTAATTACGAAAATTACTGACAGACATACAAATCATGTACTTACATACGAGAGCAGAATTTCAACACTTGCTCTTCACTAATAACGTTCTATGAATGTAATAGGTTTAGACAATCGAGTCAAAATAGTGTGTAAAGAAACCGAAAACGATGAACTGTAAACAGCGCGTATTTTTAGACGTCTGGCTCACTGCCCATACCCCTCAAAGTTTCTAATTTATTTATACAACTGCGTTGATTAAGCCTAAATTTATGTCGTAAATTTTCACCTTAATGAAAACTTTTCAATATCATTATTACCTTCCCTAAACAGTCTATGATATTTTACAGGTGAACACCTCAAACTAATGACGTAAAAAATAAAAGCCTTCAATTTATTACCAACCACAACTGTTTTCTTTAAGATTAGAAGGACAGTGATGTTTAATGTTCATGAACCTGTATCTTATTCTTTGGGTCTTTGACTTTAAGAGCCCTGCAAAACCCACCAATACACCTCTTCCAGATCTTCTAGATCATGTTCTTCAAGACGTTCCAATAACCATATGGATATTTTTTTCTTTTAGGTTGCTGTTTGTTTCAGTTCTGGGTTTGGGATAATGCCCCTATGCCACAAGGAAAAAAATTACAGAGAAAACTTAGAACTGATAAAACAATTACATTGAATATGGGCATGTAAAATCAACCGTTGTCAAGATGATAGACTACGATTATCGATTTGTTTACTATTACACACAAGCTTAAAAGATTACCGTTCTTATTACAGCAAAGTTTTGGGCGTCTAAAGTTTGAAAGTTCGACCCTATTAAAAAAAAGTGTAATGTTTGGTGGAATCACTTTGTAAATACTTTTAGATAAAGGTCATCGTATGCTAATTATATTACAAGAGTAGTAAGATGTAAGGATCTGGATATTATGGCTAAGGAGCGACATGAAATTTCTGGAATAGGGCCAACGCCGTTCACAGTTTGGCGCATTGAAGTGTGGCAAGGGATGGAGCGCCAAATTCAAAATTTAATTCAAACCGCATATAATCAATTAATTCAATTTCAGTGACGTTTGCTGAACCGGAATCCTTTAATTTTGAAAGAGGCATTGTAGAAACGTTACATCTACATCTAACACAAATCAAATTCGATTTAAACAAAGGTTGTATTACTGGCCAGTATTTTAATCACTCTTCGTCAGCATTTAAATATTATATAAGTTTGTTATTATCTACATTAGGTCGTCAGTCTTATGATTGGTTGGACACGCAACTTCACTGTTTCCTATCCTGCTAATCTTCGCATTTCTCTAAAACAAGAACATCCCACATCCTTAACTACCTATTTATGAACAGTCTACCTCTAGTCCTCTTAACTACTGTTTGGTATGGAAATAAAAGTAAAACAAAAATATTTAGCATGCAAGGGAAGAAAAGGTAGGGAAAGAGTGAATATTACGATAGGAGATGATTTTCTATATCTAGGAAATCAGATACTTCAAGATGGTAGGAACAGTATACTGATACAAAACAAAGGATAGTGTAGAATCAAATTGCCTTCAGAAATTAGAAGAAGATTGTTAAAGGTGTATGTCTGAAGTAAGGGTTCGAAACGTAGAAGGTGGGCACTGTGGAAAAGAAAAGGTTAGAAGCGTTCGAAATGTGGTGTTACAGGCGAATGATGAGGATATCGTTGATACAAAAGGTTAGAAATGAGGAAGAATTAGAAAGAGTAAAAGAACAGAGGGTGTTATGGAAGTCAATAAGAAGTAGGAAAGATAGGTTGGTGGGACACCTCCTTAGGCATGAAGGGCGAGTTAGAGACCTACTAGAAGCAGAAACATAAGTCGAGAGTGGTGAAGGTAGACCTAGATTAGATGTTGAAGATGTGGAATGTTCTGGTTTTAGAAAAATGCGAAGATTAACTCAGGATAGGAAAGAGTCAGTATCCTATGCAGGCCAGCACATAAATGCAAGTGATTTAAACAAGTAATTAACAAACTAACTAATCTAACCAGTAAACACTTAATGTCCTGACTTATTAATTTATTACAGACCGCTTGGTATTTTTATATTGATCGTCTAAGATTGTTATATTGACCATTTAAATTTTTTATTTTTTTTACACCTACCGACTATTTTAACATTACAAAAATTATTACGGTTTATTTATACACTGAGCGAAAATAGATTTAAAGATTGACCATTTCATTTGAGTTGACATTAAACAATATCGATAAAATAAATACGAAATCAAAGTCTTCTACTTGTAATCGTTTGTTTTGCATGAAAGTGAACAGAATTCTGAAATATTGCGTGTAGGTAGTTTTGAAGATTTGTAATTATTCATGTCTGTGCGATTTTAAATGTTATAAGCACGAGTGCCAATTTTATTTTTGTAAATTAAAGTAAAAACAAAAAAAGAAAACGTAGTAATAGTAACTTACATATTTAAATACTTGAACTCGTTTGACTTCACTTACTAAGTTATTGCACAATTCGAAAACAAAATCAAAAATAGCGTTCGCTCATGAATGTCACAAGGCACAGTAATGCTGTAAACAGTAACATTTATGCAAGTATAACTATTTTTCTGATTTTATGTAATGTGTATACATTATTTATGCAGTTAGATAAACAATTGTTATCTATAAATTACGGTTGAAAGGCTAATTTGATTCAAACTCTAGTACAAAACACAAAAATAAAATCAGTTTTATAATTAATAAGAGCGGATTAAGTTCTTGGTTAGTAATTTATCCAAACAACCTGACGTGGATGCGATTTCTATCTTATTTGCAGGAAATGATAGGGCACTATAAAACAAGAAAATTAAGTAAACATCTAGTGGTCCAAAGTCCACTTTTTTCGAGACAAACGTATTTGAAAGTACAGTGAAGGGCCAGTCCGGCTCTGGTAGGATCCCAACGGTAATACGTCATTGCAACTCCGCATTTCGCCGGTTGTAGCATCCGTGCTGTAGTAGGTATTTCTTTGTATATTGTATTTTTAATATCATGTCGAGGCGTACTTGTACTTAAAATAGCACTGCAAACTATCAACGATTAACAAAGTATCTAGTTATTAATTAATTATTATCGCAGTAGGTGTCTAAAGATTATTATAAGTAATAAATGTACTTGTATTGCACCAAAGATTTCACATTATAACTTTTTGAAGCCAGAACCTATCAAAATTCTAAAATCTACAAGTGAAAATGCCGAAACTTTTCCATTCATATCGTTTTAGTTCCGAAACAAATAGTGTTAGTCTGAAATAAGTAGCAAGCTTGCAAGAGGTTATATGGCATTACAAAATAAGAAAATTAAGTATTTAGTAATTTGGTGATCCGAAACTCTACCGTTTTCGAGAAATACGTATTTGAAAGTACAGTCCGGCCCTGGCAGAGAAATACAACATTGCAATGCCGTATTCCATCAGCTGCAGCATCCGTGTTGTATGAGCAGTTCTTTTGTATTTTGTGTTGTTAATACTATGACGAGATGTACTTCAAATAGTACTGTATACTATCAGCGATGAATAAAGTAGTTATTTAAGTACTTATTATCGCAAAGATTATTAATTGCAGTAGCGTAGTAATAAGCTGTTGAAATTTATTTATTAGTTCCACAACCGTCACTGTTTACATTTTTCATTGATATAGTTGCTTAATTGTTATCGAAATTTCTTGGTACGTTGTCAATTCACTCTCAGGGCCGGCTTCGGATTGCAACTTCGTCTGGTTTATTTACAAATTTTTTGTCCTTTAGTCACGCTGCTTTACTCACCATGCGATTCATTATTGCATCTAGTTGACACCTTGTTACTTATTTCAGAAACACTACACAGTACTGAGTGAGATCAAATAAGATCGCGATCCAAGTCTGGTAATTTCGATTAACTATCGACTAAGAACATAATCCATTACAAAATGGATTATTTTGTGATAGGAAAGCTTCCCTCATTACACCCAAACGCTATATATTTCATGAGGTCGTTTTAGGAAGGCGAAGTCCAGAGTAAATTACAATCAGATTAAGAAGTGACCTTTTTATTATTTCCTTATTTTTCGTACTTTTCGTTTATACGTATAGAATAAATTAACATAAAACATTTTCAATTTTACTAAAATTACGGATAATTACCTTACACCTTCCATCTTTCTGTGTTGTTTCGTTATAAAACTGCTTTGTGGGATTCGCGAAATATTCAGGATGTGCTCTCCGGTCATCATGTAGGCTTCGAACTTGGGGGCCACCTTTGGCTTGACGAAGTCATTGTTGCTGGCAAGAGGTTCCCACTGGAGTCGTTCCTCCTCTTCGAAGTGATCCGATAGGAGCTCCTCTTCTTCGGAGCATGTGCCATTGGTGCGTGCGAAGGGTTGGTGCACGGCCGGTTCAGGTCGAGGCCGTGAATAACCCCTGCGATTCCGTACCGCCGGCATGTCGTTCCCTTCTAAACCCGCATTTATTAGGTGCTTCCGGAACGTTGCCTTTATCTTCGGATCTGAATTGAATGAAATCAAAAAGTTCTTATTTGTTTTTTTTTTCTTTTAGGTACTTAAGTTAACTAAGCATAAGTACATTTAAAATACTTTAAGAAACTTTTAATAGTGGTTAATATTTAAAATCTATGTAAAGATTCATTTAATTGTCATCTACTACAAATTACTTCAAATTAATAAGAAAAATTGTTATTGCTGCCACCTCTCGTAGCTCAGTGGTTAAAGAGTTGGTGCGTAAAGCCAAAGACCCCGGGTTCAATTCCCGCCGAGGGTGTGAGAGCAGCAACAATTTTTCGTCATTAATTTGAAGTGAATTGTAGTGGATTAACAATTAAATGGCTTTTCACATTTATATTAATAAATACATTTGCTCATAAAAATTTAGCTAGAACACAGTTGAGCCTGTTCAAATTTGGATGGTGGTGTCGTTGTCAGTAATAATACATAGAACTTTACATACGCCATTTAGATAGAGAGACCTTTGCTCAAATAATAGTGTAAACGTCAAGATTTTAAAGCTAGAATGTACTAGTCAAGGTGCATTTAAACATAGGTAGGTGCCCACTTTTTTACAATTGTTTAGTTCCAACTTGAATTAGTTGAAATAGACGAATTTAATGATTTTAATCCCAATTAAACAATAACAAGTTTGGATATTGAAAGTAGCCTACTTAGTTAGTTTTTTCATGTGGGATTTTAAAGGTCAGCTAGTTCCAAAAAAATCGTACCATCAGCTGTCCCATTTGCACCCATTATGTTTATAACGTAAATATACATTAATTCTGTGCACGCTGCTGAATGTAAGTTTACATTACATTAAATCGTAAAAGTAGACACTGTACTATATGATTTCGACACACGAACGCAGATATTGGATTGTGTACCTTTATGTTACCGGAAATGTATGAAATCTAGGAATTGTATTCAATTCCTAGGAAATGTATATAATTCCGAGGCTATTTAGGAAACAGCAACAAATTTTTCCTCATTAATTTGAGGAAGTGTGTAGTGGGCAAAAAAGAATTCAAGAAATGAATTTTCAGAATAATATTTCATATTAAACTAACTCACTTCTAAAAGATGTCTAAAAAATTGTATGTATGTTTAAACATAGTATATATTAGTTCGACGGATTTGTGACCTAATAAGTACGGTTTGTCGTTGTTGCTGTTGTCATCTCTCGTAGCTTAGTGGTCAAAGCATTGGCGCGTAAAGCCAAAGAGCCCGGGTTCGATTCCCGGCGGGGGTGTGACAACAGCAACAAATTTTTCCTCATTAATTTGAGGAAGTGTGTAGTGGGCAAAAAAGAATTCAAGAAATTCATTTTCAGAATAATATTTCATATTATTTAGGAAATGTATAAAATATTGTTTCAAATATTTTTTAATACACACATATCTTGGGAAATGTATACATTTCCTAGGAATTGTATGAAATTCCAATTTTGTACTGGGAAATGTACAAAACTAATGCTTTCTGCAAATAGAATACTCTAATATATCAGGGCAGGGACATTAAATAATTCAATTCTTCTTCTGTCTTCATTTCGTCCGTCTCATCTTTCTCACCCGAACCACCACCCACCCATTCCCACGGTCCCTGAAAAGAGGGTCTTCCGCCCTACTTTCTGGCGTAGCCCAGAGGGACTGCCCGCTCACAAGCATTACTGGCAGATGGGAAAGTTTTTTTAAAAGACATGAACCATTAACAGAAATGGTTTTATTGGGTATTGGGCACAGGTAATGATACCCGACAAGATCACTATTCCTATTAGAAGAGATCACATCTTCCTATTAGAAGACATCCTTATGCAGATGTCTCTACGATTTTGGAACTAGTTCAAGACAACCTTCCCTCGACCTTGCAACTGATGGGAGAAAATAAAAAGGTCCTCCAGTGTTTCTGTTGCATTTTGGGAAATCTGCTTAAACATTCTACCCAATTAGCAAATGGATTATCATTTTGTGTTTGTCTTAATAGGTACCTGTATTGGTATTTATACAATTGAGAAGATGAAAGTTCTGACACATGGATGGCGGATAGCGCGAAATAATAAGGGTTCCTAAATGTCAACGGAACCCGAAAGATACCTATGGGCATTATCATCTTGTTATTGTTCCTTCACTTTATTTAGTTTTTAGTATTTTAGTGTTAATTGAAGATACTTACATAACTTATTTTTTTGAAAAAATAAAAACAAATAATATAGCTTGTTGAAGTTTTCATTATGATTGTAATTAATTATTAATTTATTTTCCAAATTTTTTTTGGTTTCTAAACATACTAAAAGGTCAATTTAGAATTTTTCTTTGCTATTGTTCTTGGTAGATTACTGAGTAGTCGTTTTCGGGAAAACCAAAATTTCCACGGTAAACCCCAATTTTCCACAGGAACGCACCCACTGCTTTCTACTAAACTTAATGGATCCATAAAATTTAAGAGGCAATAAATACAAAGCTCTCGTTATGTATTTTGAAACTTATTTACTGGGGATTATACGTAACACGCATCTGTTAGGTCGTTAACGAATTTTACTTCTCTAAACAAAAGATAAACATTAAGAAAAGATTGTGGGATTACACGGTATGGAAATTTATCAGTTTACTGTAATTATTATTTTTATATATATAATCATGTAATCTACAAGGGGTTGCAGAAAAATGAAAAAAAAAAAAAGACATACCTATACTAACAAATGAAGAAATAAATTTTCTTTTCTTCTTTATCAAATATCGGGTTGTTCGGAAAGTTATTTCGTTTTTTTTTTTGTGGAAATGAAAGACAGTTTTCGTATAATAAACAAATACTTTATTAAATTATATATTGACCGTTCTGGTCCAACACCTTTTGCCATCTTTCTTCTTTCTTTCAATGAGAACAATTAGCTTAACTTCCCATGTGTCTTAACTAGAATTGTACAGAGGAGGATGGAAAAAAGAGCAGAAAAACTATTAGGGGAAGATCAATTAGGGTTTAGAAGAAATAGAGGAACGCAAGAGGACATTCTGGCTTTACGGGTAACAATAGAGAAAACGGTAGAAAAAAGAAAGAGTGCGTACGTAGGATTTGTAGATTTAGAAAAAGCTTTTGACAGTGTTAAAAGGGACAAGATGTTAAATATACTTAAAGATGTAGGGATGCGTTACAAAGATAGAAGAGTGATACTTAGTTTGTATAAATAGCAACAGGCAGTTATAGAGCTGGGGCTGCAACGTAGAGAAGTAAATATTAGGAAGGGAGTCAGACAGGGATGCACACTGTCACCGCTACCTTTTAATCTATACATCGAAGACGCCATCAACATTATTAAAGACAGCACAACTGTAGATAGGGTAGATAGGGATAGATATACAGGGAAAAAGATTAGTATGCTTAGCATCTAGCAAAGAGGAGTTAGAGATAGCTTTAAATAAAATGGAAGCGCTATTGACAAAACAGTATTATATGAAAATAAATAAAAATTAAACAAAAATACTGGTAAGCAAAAGGAGAAAAAGTAGGGGAAGAGCGAATATAAATATAGGAGACGAAAAATTAGAAGAAGCAACTGATCTAGGAAGTCAAATAAGTCACGGAAAGAGTAGCAGAGGATAGCGCAGGGTCGAGTCGCCTTCAGTAAAATGAAGTCACTTCTGTGCTCGCGAATGGTTAATTTCATGGGCCATCTAAATACTCAATTGGGATAGTCTTTTGTTACTTACGACATCTTTGCAAAACGACGTTATGTAATTCGTTCCTAAAGTATGTTAGCCGTATGTCTGATGACACTGAAATTTACTTCTAAAACTGTAATCAATAAATATGAGGAATTGTCGCACACTTCACAGTTGCTCCTAATATTTAAGTTATGTGTATAAAATAAGTGTAGGTAAATGTAAGGAAACAAGGAAACAAATGCATTATAAGGTTGCTTGTAAGACGTATACATGTATGCAGGTACGTATGCTTATTTTGTCCTTTGTTTTTGTTTTGTTTTGTTTATTTTAGACTTTAAGTCTCTACGTGAAGCTCTTTTCAAAGACATAACATCTGGGAGTTGTGCGTTTGCATGCTACGTTGCACTCTTTGTTTTGGATTAGCGTCTGCATATGATATATAAAAGAGAGCGCATCCCCAGTAGGCTTTGTATAAAACAAAAAATTACATTTGCTTGCAGGTATAAAAAATACATTACGAATATGAATACGCATGGATGATTGTATATCTCCTTTTACTTATTAGAAAAGTGAATTTCTTGATATAGCAGCGATTTCTGATAGGTAAATGTAATAGTTACACCGTATATTTAGACATCATCATATAAAGTCGTCAATACTAAGACTGGTTGGACACGCACCTCCACTATTTCCTATTCTGAGCTAATCTTCGCATTTCCCTAAACCTAGAACATCCCACATCCTTAATTATTTGCGAACAGTAATCTAATCTAGGTCTACCCCTACCTCTCCTAACTCCCGTTTCTGCCTCTAATATATCTCTGCTAGACCTTCATGCCTGAGAAGGAGTCCTACCAACTTACCTCGCCCATTTCTTATTGACATCCATAGAGTCCTTTGTTGTCCTATTCTTTCTAATACCTCTTCATTTCTAACCTTCTCTATCCACGGTATCCTCATGTTTCACCTGTAACACCACATTTAGAATGCTTCTAACCTTTTCTTTTCCGCCGCGCTGACCGTCCATTTTTCGCATCCATATCCATTCATTATCAATCTTTTTCGAATTTCCAAATTAACCGTTCGCGAGCATAGAAGTGACTTCTTTTTATTGAAGACGACTCGACCTGCCCTATCCTCTGCTTTATGTCCTTACTACTCCTTCCGTCCTGACTTATCTGACTTCTTAGATACCTAAAATCAGCCACTTCTTCTAACCTTTCGTCTCCTATCTTTACATTCGCACTTTCCCTACTTTTTCTTCCCTTACATACCAGTATTTTTGTTTTGCTTTTATTTATTTTCATACAATTTTGTTTTGTCAATACCTCTTCCATTTTATTTAGACACTATACCTAAACATACTTTAGCAATTTGCTCTAAGGAAGGTATCACTCGGGAAGTCCCCGGAAAAAAGCGTAAATATAAGTAAGTTGCAGTTACATGTACCGTAAGTACACGTTTCAAATGAAAGGTCCCGGTATTCTATTTTCATTGGAAAAGGGTGAGGGATAATCCACTCTTCGAGTTCTTGTAGAGGAGTATTTCGCGATTTATAATGTAAATTATGATTTCAAATAAAAGACATATAGTTCTAAGGTAAATGAAATGTCAAAGAGGGATAAGTCTTAATGTATAGAAAACTCAAAAACACGGGAAAAAATCATCGTATCATTAATTACATGACCAAAAGCACAGCGACGTTTTGAGGAAGATCGTCGAGTAGTAATGAGACTTCGGGAACTGCTACTGTTCTCTGATTATTGATTAGATAACTCTCAACTTTGACATTAAACAATTTATAATCGTATAGGGCGTGGATATGATACAGGGTTCCGCAGTTCCAATGAGATCGAAAACACAATCAACGTCTGGCAGTTTGCTCTACATATAAAATATTTTCCAAATTTTTAGTTAGCCCTGTTTGGAAAGACAGGGGGTTATTTCTAAATTTTTATTGTTAACGTTTTAGTAGTTCTTAGGCTTTCACGGCCGGCGTCTTTCGATGCTGTGTTTGCTTCCGGGCTTTTTGGCCGTGGTCATCAATTTTCAGTTACGACTCAGCACCTGCCCAGTCACCACTGAAGATGCCGTCAGCAAAGAACGGCGAAACGTCTGGAAAAGCAAGATCCCACGGATCACGGCCAAAAAGCCCGGAAGCAAACACAGCATGTTAACGTTTTCATTACAATTTTCATTGGAAGTGTATAAGTTATAATCAGCATTTTTATTTGGAAAATTTATCTAAAGCATTTTTAGTAGAATTTATGAGGGATGGGAAGGTGTGTACACCTTTTACTCTATAGAAGGATGTCTTAAAAAATATTTTTCCAAATATCTGATCATTTCTTTTAAAAAGTAAACTATTATAACCTTAAATATTCCAATAAACTCAAGAAGTAGGTACTTATGCTTATTATTTCTTTAAGCTTTCTTTTAATTATTAATTTGTAAATGCTGAACTATGTCTAAAATAAAAATTTTTAAAAGCAGAAGTAAAAACCCAGTTTTTGTAACATTTTACAACTATTAACAATCATAATATGTTGCTTTTAAATTTGAATTTCGCGGTTCAATTTCCTACTTTCGTGTGTAATGAAGCAATTCTTATTTTAGGATTATCTAGGAAATTAAACCCTTTTAGGGATTTAGAACTTGCGAGTTTATGCAATTATATTAAAATATAATGTCAATAAAAAGAATTTGGAATACTTTTCTATGATTTCTATTCAGACTATTGTCGTTATGCGAATCTGTGCTCTGTGGTTTCCAATATAAATTGCAGACAACTGCACATCACGTTATTGTAGTGAATGTGACTGCGGAATATGCGTGTAAAAATTGTGCTCGTTTGGTAAGGACAATTTGGACTTTGAATATTAAATGAATTAAATTTGAGTATTACTGGCACAGTAACAATATTTTCAAATGATATTATATGGTATATATAAAGCAATTATGCAAAGTATCATTTATAGTAACAGGTTAGATACCATTAAACAAATATCAGTAGTTTTACAGTCAAAATTTTGCCTTTTTAACAAAATTTGTAACAAAATTTAATAAATATACAAAGTTATTAAAAAGAAATACAAAATTTAATCTGGTCTAACCTAGTAATACCTACCTATGGATCTAAGCATTTTTCTATTCAGTTCTTTTAATTATGGACTATTAACTGATGTAAACGAATGTAATTTCTTATTTCAAAGAATCCATTTATTTATTGGACGAAAAGAACTATAAATATTTTTCTTTAGTAGGAAGGTAGGCCTTATTCCTTAATAATTAAGTTCAATTTTCTGTCTTCATGTGAGTTCGGGGGCAGGGGGTTCAAAATTACTGTAAATGTGCTAATGTAATACTTAAATAACCCATATGAGAAATCAATCAAAATAGAAATATAGAACAAAAGATGAGCACGATTTTTACGAAAACAATTGGTTTCGAATTTTCCGCCATTTGGTCTTCAATCGTTCGAGAATTTATTTGGCCAGGTTTTATTAGTTTTACGATTAGCCACAATAGCGCACATTTAAATAAATCAAGTCACATGTCGAGATGCCGGCTTTTAGTGAAGACGTGTGACGAGTGATGCTCGGTGTGTAGACATTAAGTGAAGCTATGGACATGCTGTTAATGGCGAAAATTGAATGGAAGGGTTCTCCTATTTATCGATTTGTTCTCTAGAAAAGGTAAGATTTGATTGATTTTCAATATTTTCATATATAAAATGAACAGCCTGTGTAGAATTAACCGATTCGTTATCATTAAATGCTTTAGTTTGTAACTTGCAAATATTTAAAATTTTACTACGCATTCACTTCCGTATTGTTCATTTTTACATATGATACATTAAGCTACAATTATTTAAATTGTCTTAACAATGGTAAGTTTCTCGGTAGCCTTATACAAACTACCTACAAGTATAACATCGAGAAAGAATCTACAAAATTTATAGACAAATGTAATGCAACAATAATGTGTATTTCTTACTGCATGGTTTTTAGAATTGTCTAAAAAATAATGCAATTTTACAGACATCAACAGGTTGATGCTTGCAACCGACAAGGAGCGGTGTTGCCACTATGCATTTTTATCACTGTAGCTCATTAAAAAAATATACTGCAGATAATAATACCTAAATAAATAGAATCGATTTCTATCGTAAATTTTACTAGGTATAAATCCGCAATACAACGAAAATGGTACTTGTCCTTTTAATATTTTGTAAATTGAGTTGGTGTAATACCTAATTCTAGTAAACTTCCTGTTTTTTACTTCGACGCAAATTTTATTTTAATGGCATTGTAATTTTCATTTGTTAATGCCGAAATTAAAACAATTCTTGTTGAAAACCTAAAATTTGCAGTTTCAACTTTTAATAATTGTATATAAAATAAAAAATTGAATGTGGAATCGGAACTAAATTTTAAGGAGTAGGTAGTTTTTATTTTATTAAAAACCGACAAACCGACGTTTCGTTTTAACAATTCTTAATCTTTTTCAATTGTAGACGAAACGCTAGTCAGTTTTTGATAAAATAAATATATTTCTCCCTAAATATTGCTTTTGATTGAAGCATCCGTATTGGCTGAAACTGTAAAATTAATGCAAGAAAAAAAAATTGTTAAATATTCAATTATATCTTAATAATTTTGATACTTTATTACTTAAGTACAATTTATTTTGACTACTGTCTATTATTTGAACATATTTTATTCGGTAGTCTCTTTGTGTTTCTTTACAGCTACAAATTAAAAACAACTTACCTCGTTTTATTTGAAGGGTGACCGGGTCTGAAGATAGTCGTAGGCATTTTAAAACTGCAACAAAAAAATAATAAATTAATAGAACTTTCGATGCAGATAAACTCAAAATCAGAAATGTATTTCAAAGTCCATTAAAACTTTAGTTGTTTAGAATAACTGCAAAGAGCATGTATTTATAACAATAATATTTGGCTTTTTTGACAGGTTAAAAAACAAACAGCGTTTGTTTTGTATTTGTTTAATTCAAAAAAAGAAATATAACTTATAGGTGAATTAGTGGTTTTAATAATGAAGCAGAGCAATCAGTTATTTATTTGTTATTTCTATAATATTCGCCGATGATTTTCAAACATATTGGTTTGCTGCATTAAATTAATATGTTTCATTAAATAACAGAAGAAAATCAGTGGTATTGTATTGGTAGGTATTGCGTAACTCCACGTGCATTTGATGCGCTGTTGCCAGAAGTACCTACAATGATTTAATATATGTTAAAATGTGCTGCATCGGTTTTTTATACAATTTCACATAAAATACGGAAATATTTCAATTCAACCACCATCCGTTCAGAGCCGATCTTACTTTAAATAATCATTTTCTAACGTACACACTCTTTCCTTTCTGTAGGTTTCTCTATTATTACTAGTAAATCTAAGATGGCGTTATGCGCTCCTCTATTTCTTCTAAATCTAAATTGGGTTTCCCTTAATATTTAGGCATTTTTATCCGTTTCTGTACGATCTTATTAAGATTTTTGACGCTTGGGAAGTTAAGCGAATTGTTCTAAATTTCTGGCACCTTTCCGCGTGTGCCCTTTTTGATATGGCTAATGACTAATATTCCATTTATAATCCTTAGGTNCCTAAATATTGCTTTTGATTGAAGCATCCGTATTGGCTGAAACTGTAAAATTAATGCAAGAAAAAAAAATTGTTAAATATTCAATTATATCTTAATAATTTTGATACTTTATTACTTAAGTACAATTTATTTTGACTACTGTCTATTATTTGAACATATTTTATTCGGTAGTCTCTTTGTGTTTCTTTACAGCTACAAATTAAAAACAACTTACCTCGTTTTATTTGAAGGGTGACCGGGTCTGAAGATAGTCGTAGGCATTTTAAAACTGCAACAAAAAAATAATAAATTAATAGAACTTTCGATGCAGATAAACTCAAAATCAGAAATGTATTTCAAAGTCCATTAAAACTTTAGTTGTTTAGAATAACTGCAAAGAGCATGTATTTATAACAATAATATTTGGCTTTTTTGACAGGTTAAAAAACAAACAGCGTTTGTTTTGTATTTGTTTAATTCAAAAAAAGAAATATAACTTATAGGTGAATTAGTGGTTTTAATAATGAAGCAGAGCAATCAGTTATTTATTTGTTATTTCTATAATATTCGCCGATGATTTTCAAACATATTGGTTTGCTGCATTAAATTAATATGTTTCATTAAATAACAGAAGAAAATCAGTGGTATTGTATTGGTAGGTATTGCGTAACTCCACGTGCATTTGATGCGCTGTTGCCAGAAGTACCTACAATGATTTAATATATGTTAAAATGTGCTGCATCGGTTTTTTATACAATTTCACATAAAATACGGAAATATTTCAATTCAACCACCATCCGTTCAGAGCCGATCTTACTTTAAATAATCATTTTCTAACGTACACACTCTTTCCTTTCTGTAGGTTTCTCTATTATTACTAGTAAATCTAAGATGGCGTTATGCGCTCCTCTATTTCTTCTAAATCTAAATTGGGTTTCCCTTAATATTTAGGCATTTTTATCCGTTTCTGTACGATCTTATTAAGATTTTTGACGCTTGGGAAGTTAAGCGAATTGTTCTAAATTTCTGGCACCTTTCCGCGTGTGCCCTTTTTGATATGGCTAATGACTAATATTCCATTTATAATCCTTAGGTTCTTTCCCTATCTCGTACATGGGGCTAACTAACTAAAACATACGATCTATACTACTATCTTGGTCTGCATGCTTTAAGATTTCCACTGGTACCCCATCTATACCTAGCGTTTTATTTAGGGTTGCCATCCGTCCGAGTTTCCCCGGATTTGTCCTAGTTTAGAGGGCATCCGGGGAGCGTCCGGGTGGGCCTTCATTTGTAGTCCGGGTTTAAAAATTTAAAGTCTTGGGCCTCCCGCGACATACCCACTGTGCTCGCACACACCACGATCAACCGACCAACCGAGTCGCTATATTCATCGTCCCCTCCCCCCCGTATATTTATTTTTTTAGGTTTCACATTTTTATAAGGATTTGTTTTCATAACAAAGTATATTAATAATTTGAGTTTTATTTTAAGGTTAAAAAATCTAACTGATTATTAAAACAATTTATAACAAACTGTAATAAGATTCTGTTTTGTTAGGTACATTTAAAATGATGATAAAAAATGACTAAATTTAATTTTAAGGTCTGAAAATAAATAAAAAGGTGATTTATGACATTTTCAACGCTTTTTATTGCACTGACTATGTTTAAAAAAACCTGTTGACATGTCCGGGTTCTGGACTCTGAAATCCGGGGTTTTCACGCGTCTTGTCCTGGTTTCCAAATTATAGAGATGGCAACCCTAGCCTTATTATTCTTTAAAATTTTTAATGCAATGTCAATCCTTTCTTCATCATGGGGTTCCTAATTCACCTCCACACTTTCTTTTTCAATACATCTAAATCTCCTGACCTGCGTACATAAAGTATACGTTGTAGGCGTCGAGGCGCCTATATATGTGTGTGTTTTTAATGTAATGTAAGCGAAGGCAAATAACAGAAAAGCGGAAATGAAACAGGAGAATTTTACGATCTCGGAAAATTTCAATATCGAAATATTGGCTGAACTGATCTGAAATGTTGGCAGTAAAATGAATCAGGCACAGGAACATTTACGATTTATGTTTTTTCTGAATGTTTAGGAGACAATCCTGTTTGGAAATGACAAGGGGGATATATGTATACATATTAAAGTGAACTGGTTTTGATATTCTTAATTTAATTATGGTTAGATATTCAGTTATTTTGAACTTGAAAATAATTTAACCATTACGTTTCGATCTCGAATTTCAATAAAAATATAAAAAAATCGTCTTAACATTCGGGAAAGGGGAGTCTTATTTTTTCCTATCAAGGGGGGTCATGTAGGATCTGATCTAAAATCAGCGAAATTTTGCTTACGTGAAACTTGAATGGTCTCTCATTACTGAGTGGGTCTGTGTTCTTTGATAATATAATTGTAATTATTCATAATTAATGCAGCCACATGGCAGGATGAATAAGATAATTTCTGAAAAGCTGTAAATCTGGGATGGAATAGACGTGTTAACGAAATAGTGTAGAAATTGTCTAGTAAATAAAGAAAATTGTACAAGTAATTAAAAAAAACATAAATTAAATAATGTGTTGAAGGGTTTAAACAAAACAATCATGGGACACACCTCATCATCATAAGGTCGTCAGTCCTAAGACTACTTGGACACGCACCTCCATTCCTTCATTCTTTCCTATACTGGACTAATCTTCGCATTTCTCGGAAACTAGAACATCCCACCTCCTTAATTATTTGTGAACATTAATCTAATCTAGGTCTACCTCTATTCCTCTTAATTCCTCTTGTCTAACTAGCCCTTCATGCCTGAAAAAGTGTCCAACCAACATATCTTGTCTATTTAATGTCATCTTTAACTCCTTGCTAGATGCTAATACTGCTATATCATCTGCAAATCTAAGCATACTAATCTTTTGCCCCTGTATATCTATCCCTACAATTGTTCTGTCTTTAATGATGTTGATCGCGTCTTCGATGTATAAATTAAAAAGTATTCGAGTTAGTGTGCATCCTTGTGCGACTGCCTAATATTTACTTTTCTACGTTGCTGCTCAGTATCACTCTTCTATCTCATCCCTACATTTCTTATTCCTATATATTATCTTGACCTATTTAACATTGTCAAAATCTGTTTCTAAATCTACGAATCCTATATACGCGCTCTTTCCTTTTTTTATTGTTTCCTGTAAAGTCAGAATGACCTCTCGCGTTCCTCTATTACTTCTGAACCTAAATTGGTCTTTGTCTAATAGTTCTTCCGTTCTTTTTTCCATCTTCTGTACGATTCTAGTCAAGATTTTTGAAGCATGAGAAGTTAAGCTAATTGTTCTAAATTTTTCTCGTCTATCCACGTTTCTCTTTTATTTTGGCTACTATGTTCCGTTTATAGTCCTCCAGGACTTTCTCCATATGATATATGTATACACCTGCTAGCATTTAATATTTTATTTACCATCAAATTCTAGGCCAAAATCGTAGGCGACCACTAGTGAAGCTTACCAAGTTCTTATAGCTGAATAAAAAAGAATATAAAGAATTCTAGATTACAACCACTTCAGTTAATACAAATGTAATATTCCAAAGTTCTGTTTGCAACATTTTATTGTAGGTGTTACTTCTTCAGAAGTGTTTTATTTACGACCTGTCAGACGTAACTTTGCTCACGTCGCGACGACCACGTTGGCGTCTAGAGCTAGAGCTTATACGTACTAAAATAAGGTATGTCTGACCCGATTTATAAATCAAAGACTTGAAGTTTTCTTCTAAAATTGATTAAACAATAATATTGCAGTTCTCTCTAATAAAAAGAAAATTCGAAACGGCGAAACTAAAATCTTAGGAAAAATTTCTCTTGGGTTGACAGCATTTTCTCCCTGTCATGGGTTTTTTGCTTGTAATTATAGTTAAATTAATGCATTCGTTTTGTCAAAACAGCAATTGTAAAATTAAAAATTTTAAATTATACGTTATACTATTCAAAATACAAGCAATATTTATATACATATTTGATTAGGATATATAGGGATTTGAGGGCGAAAAAGTAATGTAGCTAGATCTCATTTCTGGGAAAATTCGTTTTTTCCGTGTTTTCACGCTTAAAACAAAGAAAATTTACTTGCCCGCACAATAGGATTACCACAGATATCGTCCTGCGAAAGTAGCCAAATGGTTAGAGCATAGGTCTACCACACCGGAGTACTCGAGTTCGAATCCTGCAATGCGATCACATTTGCATACTTTTTTTGTGTGTATGAGCTCGGTCGCTCATGTACTAATATGCTAAACAGTTAAAGTATCGTAGGTGTATTCTCGAAAGAACAACAACAAATCCATTATTTAAATATTCGACAATTGTTTCCAGAAAAATGTTAGTAGTTATACTCTTGATAATAACCTAAATATTAGAAATTGATTTATGCCTTCACTGTTGTAGTCTAAAGAAACAGGATTTCCGGATTCTACCCGTCTTTTATTGATGAAATCCCCTTGATAGATGATGGTGTGAACACTTTTGAAGTCACCATGATCCTTTTTAGGGATTTCGTCAATAATAAGACATGGTTAGAATCCGAATTGTCTAGTATTATATTTCCTGTTTTAATATATGTAGGTAATATGTATGCAATTTAACTTTTCTATGTACTATTTCTAACAATAATTCTATTCATGTAAGCAAAGAATCACTTAAAAGTCACAATGTTGAAGTATTGTGCAATTTCCTAAACTTTAATCAAGTACGCTTGTGCTGCAGAAAGGGCCGCTAGCGGTTTTCAAGTTTTGTTGTTGAACTTGTCGAATACTTTGTAGCTCCTGTAGGAATTTTAAATTACATCAGTGTAGCCAAAAGGCTGTGGTTACATCATTTAAGGTAAGGTAAACATAATGTTTCTATGAAGAAGTGCCTACATAGGCTACAACAATAAAAATAACAAAAGGTAATCGGTAACATTTCGATAGACATAAAAATCAATGAGAGAAAACAATGCAAATTTGTTTCTATTACTTTATTAGTGAATGAAATCAATGAGTACAAATCAAATCAAAGAAATTACCAGAAATCAAAAATTCTACATAAAAAAGTGTAGAAACATAAAACGTGTTTTGACACCATACAGGGGTTATCCCCAGTTTTAGACTTATCGGCAATTGTAAGGAAGTCAAAATTCATTAATTTTTTTTTGCATTTATTGTACGATAAATAATGAAAAAAATAAAATGGCATCTTACGACACCTTAATACTAATTAAAATTAAAGCCTGGACATTAGTAGCCCCATGCGTAACTCTTTTTGGGGTTTCCATTAATAAAAAAATTAAAAATCAGACGCGGGTCCCCATCAGTCCGGGGTCCCAGGCAGAGTGCTTCGTTTGCGCCGCCTTACAATTAAGTGGAACAGAGATAGTAAAGGTGGTGCCCCACTTCTGCCCATTGATAAATAGTTTGTTGCGGACTTTGCCTTCCCAAACTGACTCGACCGTATTAGTACCTCTTACTCCTAGTAATAAATGTTTACACAGGTATTTAATTGTGCACGTAAAGTGTTCTATGCCTGTGTACATATCGTTATATGTACGTGTCTCGTTACTATTTTACTACTCATGTACATGTGTACGTGTATCTATATGTACGTCACGCACCGTTGTTAAACAAGATCACGAACCAATTAAGCCAAAGCAGTGTAGCGCACGTAATTGTTCTAATGATGGTTTAAGTAAGTAAATCAATTAGGAATCGGCTAAAACTTAGTCAAAGTGTAGCGCACTGCGTAATTAGAACCACAACAGGCGTATGTGTGTTCATATTCTCTGTGACTTCTGTTTGCTAAAGTCGTTAATTATAAAAGCCAAATTTATTAGAGGTTTGATAGTGTTTTCATGTCAGTATTCGGTTAAAGGATCATAGAGATAGGATATGGTAGGCAGTGGCTGTGGCTAAATGATCGATGACGTAATTAACATTATACAGCATGATATGCTGAATATCTATGGTTTAGTTTTGTATTGAAAATTGTTACACTATCTCTCTCAGTTAATAGCCCTTACTGGAATTAGATGATGGAATTAACTTATGTCTATTTCCGGCATCCAAGATATTTTTCATTGAAAATCAATCTTTTGAGGTGTTGGACGTGTTTAATAAATCAATAATCGCTCATTTGTCTTAAAATCGTGGGTATGATGTGGAAGGGACTGTGTATAAATGCCCGGCGACGGAATCAGTAGGTTATGTACAGAGGAACGCTACATTTCTTTGTCGGTATTTTTTCCTTTGATGCCGCACGAGCAAAAATTCATAATTTGCTGAACTGTACAAACCGTCCTCTTAAAATTTGTTGAACAAAGTGCTAACACCCTTCAAAGGCTTTAAATTGCATTGATTCGACTTACATATTTTACTTTAGTATTTGTAAGAAGAGATGGTTGAACTTCCCCTTTTACCATGTCATGATGTCGCTTATTGTGATTGCGTGTACCGTGTTCAGTTCTTTAATTTGCAGCAAAGATACTTCCAATAAAAATCGTCGCAACAACTAAAAAATTGTAGAAAATAAAGAAAACTAAACTAGTTTTTATGTGATCTAATTTTTATCTCAACTAAACGTAAGAATTTTAGCTTTTTAATGGCTGAACTATTGCATTTCCTTGTTTATTTTGTGTAAAAGGTAAGCGTTTTGCACTCGTAAACATTAAAAAATTGTAGACAAAAGGGAGGTACTTCCGTCACAAAAGGAGGGTACGAAGGAAGTGCGTGAATGAGACGTTCAGTTAAAGGGAAACTAAAAGTCGATAACATACCGTGTCGTTATGCTATAAACTAGACGAATCGATTTTTGTTTCATCCCTTGTCTGAGTGTGTAATAAAACGCCCGTACGTGACACGACATTAATAGAAATTTATACGTACATACACACACACAAAGTTAGATTTACTGTAGTATTTGGTGGTTGTGAGAATTTTCTTCACCTGGAAAACGAATTACGGTTTTATTCAATGAAACCTATCAGTTTTTTTTGTTACTATTTATATACCTACGTTCTAGTCACGAATTTGTAACAAAAGGGGTTAAATGTAGGTACACTTTTTTTTGTAACTTTTTTATATGTCGTAAATAGGTACTACAGTCAATTTCAAATATTTTAATAATATTGTAGGTAACGAAGTTCCTTTAATATAAGGTGATTTATTTATCAAAAAGCACTACATGCAGTTATTTATCAATATTATTTGCAAATTTAAATCTAGGTTTACTGTTTTGTTCGCTTTTAATTTTGTATCCCGTTATGCGGTGTTTCGGAAACTTCCCGTAAGTTCGTATATGTCTTGCAGTATGATTTATGACCGCTGCTGTTGCCTGTCAACCGCCGGCAGCGCTATCAAACGTGCCATCGTGCCGCCCTGTGTAGACTGTCACCTGCCAAATTCGTTCATAACAATATCACTCAAGATACCGACCATTTTCGTTCGTGGTGAGTTTCAACGAACCCTTTTCCGTTTAGTAACTCACTCTTTATGAAATATTGGTTCTTTCGACACCAACAAAAAACATCTCGCACCACTCAGGATGTACATAAACACGAAGGTAGTGATCTTACCGAAAACCCCAACTGCACCGGCAATGTACTTTAAAGGTAATACTTTACCAATCGAACGCTAACGAGTGCAGATTATTACTAATCATTACGTACAATTGACTTGTCTGTGTATCAGCTGTTTGCGAAGGTCGCGAATAGGTATGCGTGTTTCGTGGAAAGCCGATAAGATAACGCGGTAACTGTTCTCAATCATTCACAGTTCGTTAACTGGGGTACCTTTCGTGCATACTTTTTACATCCCCTACGTTGTGGTCCTTCACAGTATCTTATAGAATTTCGAATGCTATAAAACATTAAGGCGATGTTACAAATCAATTAACATTAAAACAGTTTTTTGTTAATGTTAACGTTTTTGGCAAAAATTTCCATGTGTTATTTGCATCCCCCATTAAAACCTTCTTACTAGGGTCACGTTTAACCTTTTCAAAATAAGTTACGATTGATATAGACATTAATTCTAAAGCATTATAAAATTAATAACTGTAGATTTTCATGATGCTTATGAAGTTTTTAATCATTCATCTTCACATATTCTACTACTGTACGTATTTTATGTTTCGTTGTAAAGTTTTATCCATTTCTCTTGCAAATTTCATGAAAAGTTAACGTACATTTTACAATTATAAATTAGGAATTGGTTGTTACCTATTTGTTTTATCTTCGAGCTTCGAAACCCACACGGCGATAATCTCAAATAGAGTGTAAATTTAGTTCTCGGCCTTTCAAGGAATCATCACATGTTAGCCCAGTCACCCTTATCGCCCTTTGCATCCCTTGACAACATGTATTCAATCTCTGGCTGAGATAATTAACACGTGTACCTATTTTAAACAACATAAATAACAACCGACCTGTAATTTGGGTGGTTGCTGGGGTGCTCTTGAAACTCGAATACATTCTAATTTAACATGTAATGAATTACGAATGGTTATTATAATATCAAAAACGCTCTCTGAACTTCAGTTATCAGTATTGAATTTCTTAAGGGTTGAAAAGCTGTACGAGTATGCTAATATGTACAAATACCTACAGAAAATTACAAGTTGCTGTAACACGGTGGGCAAATGTAGTAAAACGTAGAAAATCTGAAAACAAAATTTAATAGAAACTTCAGGAAATTGTTTCATCTAAATTAGCCAAATGGGAGTCTAAAAACATTAATCAAATGGAAAGTTTCCATTTTAATAGATTGGATTTTGGTATTGCTATCATTATCATCATTATAGGACCTTCAACCACAAGGCTAGTTCATATCAAAGGTGTCCTATCTCTCTTGATTCTTACTGACTTTTATAACACTCTCTGTTCTACTCTTCAATCCTCTCGTTTAACCACTTCTATCCACGGAATTTATTACATTCCACTGATACCACTCAGACGAATTGAAACTTTTTCGCGCAAAAATTTCATAAACTTGTATTCTTATGTCGCGCGTTGTAGCCACACACGCTTGAGCCGTTTAACCAGTTATCCCGCACTCTTATATAGAAAGCAGAAGATAGACAAATCTAATTTGATATATTAAAAAGACAATATTTTTTTCGTAAAAACTGTAAAAACATGTCTAGTCAAAAATGGTAATTAATTTATTAAACACTGCACCAGTAAATGTATATGTACTTACCTTCTTTAGTAGAAAATTTATTGACATCAGTTTCATTAATTCTCACTATGACGTCGCCTACTTCGACCTGAAACAGACAAATAATTTCGTTAGATTTCAACTGTTACTTTTATAAACGATTCATATACAAAGTCAGATATTCTAAAAGAACATCGAACAAATTAACATTATTGTTTCTCGTTTTTATGAATAGATAATATCACTGTTGTATCATCATCATCATAGGGTCGTCAGTCCTAAGACTGATTGGACACGTACCTCCACTCTTTCCTATCCTGAGCTAAATTTTGCATTTCCCTAAAACTAGAACAACCCACATCCTTAACTATTTGTGAACAGTAATCTAATCTAGGTCTACCTCTACCCCTCCTAACTCCTGTTTCTGCCTCTAATATTTCTCTGACTAGACCTTCATGCCTGAGAAGGTGTCCTACCAACCTATCTCGCCTATTTGTTATTGATTTCCATAGAGTCCTCTGTTCTCCTATTCTTTCTAATATCTCTTCATTTCTAACCTTCTCTATTCACGATATCCTCATCATTCGCTTATACCACATTTCGAAGGCCTCTAACCTTTTCTTTTCCGCCGCACCCACTGTCCATGTTTCGCTCCAAACATACACTGTTGTATACAAAAAGATAATTTTTATTTTCTTATAGACAAAGTATATATCTCTTTCGAGAGATTTTGGATAAGCATCCTTATCTAATGATTTTATTCCTATAGTACATCTTCTACAATAGAGCTTGTTCACACTAAGCGGTCAGTAGTTAGAATCACGCGGTTGTGTTCGCCTAGTTAACAAAATACGATGAACATGGATGACCTTTTGGCAGTCATAAACGCAATATGCAATTTTTTTTATGCAACGAATTAAAGAAATTAAATAAAAAAATTAAACCAATATATTGTTGATACTAGGTTGAAGTCATCGCTTCAGTAAAATATTAATAAAGGATTTTACATTGAAAATATTTATTCCGTTAAGCTCCGGTTCGATTCTGCTCTGAAGTATATGTTTAATAAAAATGGAATCTGATGAAAAAATATGAAATTTTGAAAATATTTTTTTTTACATATTTTTGCTGTATTTGGTTTAGTTTACCTTAATTTTTTTCATTCGATAAAACTTCCGACCTTTCCTTATTTTCCATTTTTATACTTTCTTTCGTCTTTATCTGCATTTAGAATAACAGCTATAATAGCCTTGTTCTTCATTTGACAAGCTGAAAAATGACATGTCTGATTTTACTGGAGCGAGAACGATGCTTCAGCTGATCTGGATCAAGTCTTACAGGGTAGAAATATAAAATCCTCTAAAGCTGACTTTGATTTTTATTAAAATGGTTTCTCGAGAAGGAAAGAAATTAAAATTTATTTGTTTTAGGAACATTTGTACTCAATCATGCATTTCAATGTTTCCCAAGGGTTAGTTCGCGTATCTCTTATTAATAAGCTCAATTGGTTTGATAAATTCATATTAAATATAATAATCATAATAATGGGGTACAAGCGGTAACATAAAAACATGTAGGTCATGAGGTTAGAGATATACAAGACGGAGGACTATAAACGGGATATGGTATAGTTAGAACGTTCAAAATTGGCGTAGTACACAATAAAACTGTCACATTTATTGTCTTCTTTCAACTTACTAACTAGACCAGAGCGGTTGCTGATAGAACGGCTACTTTTACTCACCACAGACGATGTAGGGAATATCGTAAACATAAAAAAGAGATGCCAGGTAGGAATTGCAGCGAACACTAATAAAGAAAAGGAAATAACAGTACACCGATTAATATGTAACAGAAAGAGATGCAGACAAGCAGGATTTAAACATGTTGCCAGCATCGGACTTTAAAGAAAGTTCAGCATTCAGGAATTCAGAATTGGTTATCCCCTTTCAATTTGTCTGCACTACTCATGAAGCATTGCCGAACTCACCAAGGCCGTGCTCAAAATGCAGCAAATGGGTACAGTTTCAAGTGGAAACAAGAAAGATGATACGCACATTCTCCAATTTTGATCGTACGAACTATAGCAATCATACCAAACGCGTCAAAAATCTTCATTGGAATCCTGCAGAAAAGGATGGATAAAAGAATGGAAGAATTATTAGGGGAAGATCAATTTTGGTTTATAAGATATAATTGAGATAACGACAATGTTAAAAGAGTGATATCTATAATTTGTATAAAAAGGGACAATTGAGCAATAACTTGAGCAGGCAACAAAGAGAACTAAATATTAGGAAAAGTGTTAGTCAAGGATGCATGTATACATATACGAGAGCACGATTAATATCATTAAATACATGACAAGAGAAATACAAGATTACCACATCCAGATTTGCAGATGATAGCAACGAGGAGTTAGAGATCATCATCATCATCATAGGGTCATCAGTCCTAAGTCCTAAGACTGATTGGACAGGTACCTGCACTCTTTTCTATCCTGAGCTAAACTTCGCATTTCCTTAAAACTAGAACAGCCCACATCCTTAACTATTTGTGAACAGTAATCTAATCTAGGTCTACCTCTACCCCTCCTAACTCCTGTTTCTGCCTGTAATATGTCTCTGACTAGACCTTCATGCCTGTAAAGGTGTTCTACCAACCTATCTCGCCTATTTTTTATTAACTTCCATAGAGTCCTCTGCTCTCCTATTCTTTCTAATACGTCTTCATTTCTAACCTTTTCTACCCACGTTATCCTCATCATCCGCCTATAACACCACATTTCGAAAGCATCTAACCTTTTCTTTTCCGCCGCAGCCACTGTCCATGTTTGGCACCCGTACAACGCCGTGTTCCAAACATACACCTTTAATAACCTTTTTCGAATTTCTAAATTAACCGTTAGAGATAGCCTTCAATAAAATGGAAGCGGAATTAACAGAAGATTATTGCATGAAAAGTAGGGAATGACCTAATGTATTTACCAAGGTACGAAAGAGTCAAATTCGAACTTGATTAAATTTTTTATTGCCAAACATAATTATTCGACTCGAAATAACAAGACCTACCCGAATTTTAAATTGCGTTTAATTTTTAGCTAGCCTGACTATAAATATCTTAACTAACACGTGTTTAGTGATTGGCTTAACATCAAAGGAACGGGATATTTGTGCTATTATTCAATTGCTAAATGACATTATTCCTGTTACATACAGCGTCCATTAATGAATATGCATTTGCGAAACGAAATTACCGCTTGCGCCCGCATCCCATTTGCAGAAGCGGCACGGAAAACCGAATTTCCTGACCCCCCCCCCTTCTCAGTTCCGCAGACCGCCATTGCCATTCTTCATCTCTTTCGTTTTGAACTACGGCCAACAACGTATGTGTGAAGGTACTTTTTATTACGCGACGCAACGGTGCATTCGAACTACGTAACGAATAAATAATAATTAATTGCGACTCTAAATTCTAACCAACCGCAGCATCGTTGCTTGGTCTGATGCAAATATAATTTGAATTTATGGAGAATTTGTGACGAATAAAAATTTAAAGAATAATAAGGTATTAAGTATAGATAGAATACAAGCAAAAATGATAATAAAATATACACGTCAAGAGCTTAGAGTTAGTTACCCACATATACACGAGATGGGGAAAGTCCCGGAGAACTATAAAGGAGGTGTGGTAGTAGCCATACAAAAAAAGAGGGACTCGGATAAATGTGAGAAATTTGGAAAAATTAGCTTAATCGACCATGCGTCAAAATTGTTAAGTAGATGTGCAGAGGAAGATGAAAAAAGGGGACAAGGGTCATTTTAGCTTTATGGGTAACAATAAAGACAACGGTAGACATACGAAAGAACGCGTACATGCGATTCGTAGATTTAGAAAAAGATTTTGACAATGCTAAATGGGACAATATGTTAAATGTACTTTACGTAAGCATGAAAGATGAGAGTAGGGATTTAGATTTAGATGCACACTGTCATTATTACCTTTTAATCTTTATATTGAAGACGCGATAAACACCATCAAAGAATTAAAGAGAAAGAGTGAATATAAAGATGGAGACGAAGATTTAGAAGAAGTCACTGATTTGTGGTATCTAGGAAGTCAGACAATTCAGAATGGAATGATCAGTAGAGATATAAAAGAAAGGATAACGCAGTGTTGAGTCGCCTTTAAAAAAAAAGTCACTTCTGTGTTCCCAAACGATTAATAAAAGGTAAATAATAGGTTAAAAGCGTTCGTATGGTGCTACTGGAGCCTATGGCTAGAGCAGGTTAGAAATGAGGAGGCATTAGAATGAGTAGAAGAATAGAGGACGCTGTAGAAGTCAATAAGAAATAGGCGAGATAGGTTGGTAGAACACCTCCTCAGGCATGAAGAACTAGTTAGAGATATTTTAAAAACAGAAAACGAGTTAACAGTAGTAGAGGTAGAGCTAGGGCTAGATTACGGTTCACAAATAGTTAAGGATGTGCGTTGTTCTATAGGTTGTTCGGAAACTCATTTCGTTTTCTTTTGTGGAAATAAAAGACAGTTTTCGTATAATAAACAAATACTTTATTAAATTATATATTGACCGTTCTGGTCCAACACCTTTTGCCGTCTTTCTGGTAGTAGCATAATTCCACGCTCATAAAATTTTTGGTCTTTGCTGGCAAAAAACTGATCGAGGAGGTTTTTGACCTCCTCATTTGAGGTGAAGGTTTTACCGTCTAAAAAATTTTGGAGTGACCGGAACAAATAATAATCCGATGGTGCCAGGTCTGGAGAATATGGTGGGTGTAGCATTGTATCCCATTCAAGCTGTAAAAGCTTTTGGCGAGTGACCAAACTTGTGTGAGGTCTCGCGTTGTCTTGGTGAAACACTACACCTTTCCTGTTGATTAGTTCTGACCTTTTCTGTTGAAGTGCATCATTCAGTTTGTCCAGCTGATGACAGTAGACTTCCGAATTAATCGTTGTGTTATCCGGTAAAAGCTAAAAAAAAACGATTCCTTTAAAATCCCACCAAACAGACAGCATCACCTTTTTTTGGTGAATATCGGCTTTGGAAATGGTTTGAGCCGGTTCATCTTTTTTGCTCCATGACCTCTT